TTGAAATCATTCTGGCCCTACCGGCTGTAGGTGTAACATCGACTGCAGCTATAGTGATTTACCATTGCGGTAGAATGTAATGGCTCAGCCTCCTGAGCTTCCTCCAGCAATAGTCCCCCCTTCTCCCATCTCTAACTATACTCTTTTCAATGAATCATGGCAACTGAGCAGTTCCACCAGCTACAGACCAAACGCAATATATTTTATAGAACAGTAACTGAGGCAGAAATTCCCAGCTAATGTTCCTCTCCTCACAGATGAAGTACATATGTGTCTAGAAGGATGTCTGGACATTGTCTCATTATATTGTGTTAAAGAAGAGAGAGGCGTTCCGCTTTCATTTTGTGATCTCCATGGCATTCTAAACATCCAAGAGGCTGTCACTTTCAGAATAATAGGTATCACAGCTGCTAGTGTGCTTTCATCATTAGTTCTGGTCGTATAATATATGGTGAAGAAGTTTGGTAAATATATACTCAAGGTTTAATTTGCTGGGGGCAACTTTTAAGGTTGTGTGCTGTTGTGTGCATAGCATTTTGGTGTGCTACAAGGCCAAACTTTTTTATATAAATGTTACTTCTATGATATGTTTTAATCTTGTAGGATTGGTCGTTCGACTGGTTACATTTCTACTGATCATCGCCAGCACAGTCATTCTTGGCTTCAGGTATCGTCGAGATCTACGACCAAAATTTTTGTTCTGTCCTAGACTTTTTTGTGTTTAGAACTGGGGCCTCCACTTCGACAAGGGAAGTGGTCGGCATCTCTGTGTTGGTTCTACGTTTTCTTTGCACCTTAGTTTCAGCACGACTGACTGACTTCTAAATTCCTGCTGGCCTTCGCCAGCACAGTGATTCTTGGCTCCTAGTTCCACGGGAATCATGATCATATTTTACTCTCTGACGGCTCTAGTAGACGTCAGGCCTCTGTCTTTAAAGGCTGTCCAGTCCAGCCCAGTATATTGCTGCTGGCCCTCGCCAGCCAATCGTTCATGGTATCGTGCCCCGTCGTAACCATGACCTTATAGTTGTTCTTTCTAAGACTTTGACGTGTTTTGAAATAGGGCCACCACTTCAGCGAGAGGAGGGGTCTGACTACTGCTGGTCACTCCCTCTGTTGGGGATGACTCGAGTGGGCATTTTACTACCTGGCCGTTATCCTCCCGGTGCCCATTGAGTAGGAGTCTTTCTGGGCCCCAGAGCCAGTCTTGAAGCTATGGAGTAGAGAAAAATCTGTTGCCCCTGCCGGAAATCTTACCCTGTCCGTTCAGCCCGTAGCCCATCTCTATAACGACTGAGCTTTCGCTGCTCTATAATAATCAGAGAGTAGAAAGATTGTTTTTACGGAATTATTACTTTACCTTTTTATAAGTTTATTAATATTTTGAACCCCATTTAAAATCGTTTTAGTTGATTGAGTGAAGCCGAGATGAGGCTACTTGTTCTATCTCTGAGTCTGAAGCTATAGAAATGAAGAATCGCGTTACAAAGTACAGGGTGGGGCGCAGAAACTTCCGCGACTGTTGCGTTCGCCAAGCCTATCCCCACTTTTCTGAGACCTCCCCTCCCTTCACAATGCATCTTCACAAAAAGGAAGTTTCTGCGCCCCACCCTGTACTACGAATATTGAAGTAACATAATATTTTCAAGGTAGTTTCTTGTGTTACGTCAGCCCGTTTCCTTTTAAATGACATCATATTCTTCTGTGTATAACGGAAATCATTTTTCTCTTAAGGAAATTATAGAACACATTTAGCTTGTTACGTAACACACAAAGGTGAAAGTAAATATATTACGTCTGGCGTTCGAATCAACCTCCATCTATGTCGAGCGTTTTTTGTTTAGTGAGGGTCTGAAGGTTGACTCAGCTAAAAGCTACGGAAGAAAATGTTAGCGCCACTTCTGCTGTGGCGATAAATGCTTGGATCGGAATGCAGCGACTTGGTTGGTATTCATTGAGCAAACGAGTTCAGTGATTAGCCTAATTTGTGTGCATAATCGAATCACCCTGATGGATGCGTACGAATGGGTACAGCAAGGGGGAAAGTCTGGACCCCGGATTGTTTCAGATGGCTGACAATTATCAGGCAGTTCTACATGCAGCTTGGTGCAGTATCACAATTATCGAGGCAAGGATTTCTGAAGCTAAGCAGTGTAGAGGTTTCTCTCTTTCTCTGATCTGTTAACATACGTGTTTGCGTGATAGAAATTCTTTTGTTTAATGAGAATCTTTTGGGTGGGAGGTTGAAGTAATATGTTTGCAGATATAAATGTAATTATAAAAGTACAGTAAATATTTTTCAGGCTCATGCTTCATTTGACATTACAAAAAAAATTGATGTTATTTCTCTATTGTTTTAGTGAGCTTTTTTCTTTTCTTTTTTTTTTTTGCTGAATCAACTCATGAAAACTAATAGTAATTTCCATCATAACATTTCGACGAACAAAGAAAACATGTTCTGTTTAAAATGTGTTTATATTTACCAGCTTCAGAGATCAGCCGGGGTGTTCCAGTCTGTATAGCGACGGACTACGCGTTGAACTAGGGACAATAATTTCTCCATAGCTTCCAGACGGGCTCTTAGGCCCACTCACCCTCCTCTCTAGTGGGTATCTAAGGTTCCTTCCTCGGGGTCAAAATTATCATGTGCGTGTAGCTGACCTCTCACCTCCATCTGGTGCTGAGGTCAAGAAATATGGAGCTATACCTCCGCTCCCCTTTACCTATTCATCACATAGTGTTCAACTAGTTAAACACAAAAAAGAACTTTACGTAATTAACTTCAGAATTGTACTACAATATGAATCAAATTAATATAAACACAAACATACCGTTCATGGACATTTGAAGTTGTTCCCTTCGACATTACTCTGTCGAAGGAAATCTATGTCCGTGAAGTCTGGTGCAGCGATATCTTTACCGAATAAGTTAACACGGACGTAATGTGTCTGACGTAATTAGAAGCTACCATGTTAGAGTATTATCCGAGGAGGTAAAAAGTAAAAACGGTAAAGTTGTCCCTGTGCTTAACTAATTAAGCACTACGCCATAAAGACGTATGGGGGAGTAAATATATAAATCGAAATTTTCTTGACCTCGGCACTATCTGGAGGTGAGTGGTCATTTTCATGCCCTGGTAGCTTTGCCCCCAGAGAAAGAGTCCCCGTTACCCATTGGATAGGGGTTGGTTGGGACCCAGAGCCGGTCTGGACGACGTGGAGAAAAGAAAATTCTTGACCCTAAAGCTACTCGAACTCTGAACCCATGGTCGTCCAGCCCATAGCCAGTCTCTATACCGTCTGTGCTCTCCCGGCTCCCTTTCCGAAGAGGTACGTATTCTAATTGAAGATTTTGTGATTTTTCTGTAGGCGAATGTGAGGATAAGATTTTGAAATATCCACGACCGCTTCCTACCGGATCCTTTGGACTGTTTAGATAACACCTCATTCGGTGCTTCATAGCGTTTCAGTTGATACAGCCTAGTTAAGTAATGTGCCCTCATCAGTATGTGTGAGATCCCACAATAATAACTGATACTACGTGTGGAATTGAAACATTGTAACACAAATAGGTCTATGAGAGTTTTAAAAACTACTTGCGACAGTGGCCCGCGAATTTTTTATTCTCGGAACCATGCTGATACTGAGGGTACACAGATCGAAACAAAAACCAGTCTTAAGCATGCACAAAATATTGAGAAAACATATAAGAGCGAGTTTTGTTTCGTACCTAGCCCTACTCTGGGTATTACAATCAGATTTAGAGGTTTCGAGCTCTAGGTAGGCGGTGCCATAGCTCAGGCGGTTAGTGGCCGGTTCCTCAAGTCGGGTCATGTGGGATTTGTGGTGGACGAAGTGGCATTGGAGCAGGCTTTCTACGAATAATTTGGTTTCCCCTGCCAATTCTGATTCCACCCACTGCTCCACACTCATCATCTATCATCTGGGGCTGGTACAATAAGCCAATTAGTGGCCGACTTACCAAGTGGACTCAGTCTCACCCCCCACCCAAAGAAAAAAAAACTACAGTTATAGGAATGGATGTAGGAGTTGAAATGGACGACCAAAAGAACAGACTTCATATCCGGTGCTTAACATATCGACGTCTATGAGTATAAAATACGGAGATTGGTTCGGAATCCGGAAAACGACCATTTTAAAATGTTAAGGGTAATTCTAGTGCCTACTGAGTAGAGATTGGTGTTTCCTGTTTGCAGGCGCACTTCTTTTAATTACTGCCATGGTAGCTGAGTGAACATGATCTGATTACTCTTGTTGAAACGGATTTGAACAACGTATTGCCAGGGAACAACTTTGTAAACACGAATACATGCAGCAATGGAAGGGAAACGGTGTTTTCTTTGCGATCCGCGCCGGAAAAATGGACGGAGCTATAGGAAGTCTGTTTGCCAGGCAACGCAGCTGTAAACATGAATCCACAACAATGAGAGATCGTGTTTTCCGTGGGGTCTGTGCAAAGGAGTTATCTTAAAGACGAACGGCGCTACGAGTTAAGTTCTGAGTTGGAAGATAGCCAAGGTAGTTCGTAGTTGAAGAAGTGTTAGAAGTCGACCTGTAAAGACTTAGAGTGTGATTGGACGAATTTATTCATATGTAATATTTGGAGTGTGTGATTCAGTGAGACTGTTATAGTTCCTGTGTTTTAATTGTGTTACCAGGAGAGGACTAATTTGTGTAAATCAGCGATAGCGAGGTGTTTATATATGATTAAGAGAATTAGTAACCGAGGTGCTAATAAATCCAATCATCCGAAATATTTCTGTACGAGTACAGAAATTCTGTATAGTACGAATTAGTATAACGTGGACGTAAGATGACGTGAGCAGTTACAATTTGTATTACTGTTCATACAGTATACTATAAAATAGTTTCTACGTCAGCTGTCATGTAGCATTTCGTGACAATTGGCTGATCAGCGGAATGTTGTATCTAATAACGTGTGGCCACCAATGTTTCCTGACTTCGCTTTAATTGTTGCAGGGGATGCACGAGGTGCCGGGGGTGCGGCTGCCACTTCAAACGAGCTACGCTTCACCGAGCCACCACGCCGTGTTCATGTACAGCACGACTGGGGGCACGGAGGGTAGCGTGACCCTTCAGCTGCGAGACACAGATGACCTGGATGACAAAAGCGGCCTAGCATCCGTGCTGGCCCGCCTCCAGCAGGAGGACGCCACCCTCAGCATCAGTTACCAGGACAGTGAGATGCTCACCGAGGGCAGTATCGACGTCCTACTCGGCACAGGTTCTCTGCACACCACCGGTGAGTCACATATTTCAGTATATCGCCGACAAAGTCGTTTCGCTTGCACTGTGACTCCGTAGATGTAGGACCGTTAAATCTGAATACAGAATATTTTATTTTGTTAGTGGGGTGGGACTAAGTCCCTTGTACTGCGGCCACTTCTGGCCTATTATACCAGCCCCAGATGATAGGTGAGGGTGATTGTGGAGCAATTGGTGGAATGAAGGTTGGCAGGGGAAACCGAAGTACTCGGAGAAAACCTGCCCCAACGTCACTTTGTCCACCACAAATCCCACTTGACCAGACCCGGGATCGAACCCGGGCCGCCGCCGTGGGAAGCCAGCGACTAACCGCTTGAGCTATGGCGCGGCCTCATACAGAATATTACAAATGTTCATACAGTTATTGACAGTTTGGGCATTGTCTATCATCCTTTTCTTTTCAGCCCACTTTTGAAAAATAAAAGTAGGCTTATGCTTTCATTTTCCTGTCTCTGTATCTGTGTATCCCCACCATCAACTTCTGAATTCCTTAACCAATATTTATGAAACTTATATAATGGCATCTGAGCCAATCTCAGCGGCGTACTTCATAAATCCTTCTTAATTTCACTGGTAGTGCGGAATGCTGGTGCCTGCTTATACTTTCGGCCGTAAACAAACTTTTCTAACAAATTCTTCATGTTTTTCTCAGTCCCTCCACCAAAATGCCAATGTAGTACTTCAAGTTAGGCAACGACTGATTCTGTCCACATTATTTTCAACGAAATATTCACTAATAATACTACCATTTGACGTTATATTGTCTGAGCTACTTACGGTATTGTTAAATAAATAAATAAACCATACACACAAATTAAATGAGTTCATTGGTAATGCCTCATACAGCGAAGAAATGCTGAATCTTAATCAGATCTATCTGGTTCGTCTTGAATTGCCTTTCTTTTGTTTTCCTGTACACTGCTGCCATCATTATATTTAAATTCATGACTCTATTATTAACCGTGCTTTTAAAATAATTTATACTGAAGTTTGATATCCCCCCTCCTCCTGCTCTCTCTCTCTCTGCTTTAACAATCTAAAATGAAACTTAATACTTTAGGGATGCGATGTTTTCATCGTTTCGGTTGGTGATGACTGACGTCACATAATAACATGTCTAGTATAGTCCCTCTCGGTTCAGTGCATGCAGTAATCTGTCTCTGGTTACATCCATTTGTCTCAGTCAACGGCAACAACATTGGTTATAAATACAGCATTTTACGGACAGCCTGACTTTCTAGAAATATAACGTAATGTATATAAATTATGAAGTCTGCTTACGTATGTCTCTCCCTCTCTCATTCCCTCCCTCTCTCGCTTTTACATGTGTGAATAGATCTTAAACATGCAGCTCTCTTTTATCATGCCTAGAAAATTTATGTTGATACGTGTCATTAAAATCAGTATTCGGAGCATGAGACCGCCTCTGTGGTCTAGTGGTCACAATACCTGGCTACATATTCAGAGATCCTGAGTTTGATTCCCGGGGCTAAAAGATTTTCTGTGAAGTAGTGGGTCTGGAACGGGGTCCACTCAGCCTCGTGAGGATAATTGAGGAGCTATTACAAAGAAATAGCGGCTCCGGTTCAGAAAACCGAAATTAACGGCCGTGGGGATTCGTTGCGCTGACCACACGACACTCTCTATCCGCTAAAGTTGGCCCTAACTTCGCCGACAAGCGACAGTCGCTAGGTCGGTATAGTTCGCTTGCAGACTAAAGGCCACGGAATTGAATTCGTAGAAGGAACATCAAAGAATTCTTTTTCTGAATATAACAGTTCGGTGCAGGCGGGTTCGAACCTCGTTGTCTTCACGAAGAAGTACAAGCCCAGTCTCTCCACTAGTAACAGAACTAATTATGTTGCAAGTTCAGGTGAGTTTAATACATACAGCGTACTGAGGGGTAACGTTGAGGATAGTGTAAATTCTTAGCCATGCAGCTGACTTTCTTAATTCAGCCTTCTCGTGGTTTTCTTCAGTCTGTATACACATAAGGTAATGTTGGGAAAATACACTCCATATAGGTTAGGATCACTTCCATCATAACTCTTACGTATCTGTCGTAATCACATTTCTGTAACATCCGTCACCAAAGTACTCGGAGAATACCTGCCCCAGCGCCACTTTGACCACCACAAATCCCACTTGACCAGACTCGGGATCGAACCCGGGCGCCGCGGTGGGAAGCCAGTGACTAACCGCTTGAGTTATGGAGTGGTGGTCTCCTCCTAGGTCTTTCTGTTGTCTCCTTCCGTCTTTCCGAAGTGAATACTAAAACTTCTTACACACTTCCCTTCCATGCATGTCGCATGCCCTCCTCTTCTCATTTTGCTTGATCTGATCATTCATAAAATATTTCTTTCGAGGAGTACAAATTATGAAACTGCTTCCCTATTATGCACTTTTCTCCTGGCTCCCGTTACTTCCCTCCAGCAGCCTCGTTATGGGATCACATAGCCTATTCAAGTCTAGTGGACGTAATCATTAGCTCACTCCGTTTCCAAAGATGTCAGGTAACTGCACTTCCACGTGTTCAGACCTCGGTATTTGTGCGGGTGTTTGTATTTCCAACCTTCTCAGTGGCAAAGCATGAGCTAAAAAATAGATGAAGTTATTCCTGTAACAAGTCATGGAGGCACAGAGGGTTGTGAGACGTCGAGGCTCCTACATTTTCTAGACAATCTGCAAACAGATGGCGGTGAGGTTGTCAGCCTTATGTGACGGCCGCCCTTTACTCCCCCCCAGGAAGATTCCTGATACTCATTTCTGTTAGAGACTGAGTAGACCCCAAGGCTACTAAATTAACGCACACAGACATCCGTGCCTCAATTGGGGTTCGAATCCACGATCATAGTGTCCGAGCGGGCGACGACGGCTCATGACTTAGACGACGCGGCTACTGTGATCGGCCGAAACATTTTTAATTGAGATAAATACAAGTATTTAGCAAGTTACGCTCGAGATTCGCACGAAAACGTTTGTAGATCGTCAGGTCGTCGTGTAAACTGTCGGATATTTTTAATCCATAATGAAATTGGAATGTATCGACAAATGTTACGTAATCAGCTCAGTATCACATTCCATTGGGATTTGTTCAGGTGCCCTGGCGCTGTTTCATGCGGACGGACGGATGAAGAGATGGATGGCGGAACTAAGGGGCGCATTTATGCAACCATTCGTTGCGAAACACGTCCAAAAGTAGAAAACACTAGCAATGACAGGAGGGGTACACATACAGACACACAGACCGGTAGGAGGGATTTAGCAAGCAGCCCACTGAGGTGGGCTGATGTGTCATGATATACCATATACCAAGTTTCATAAAGATTGGTTTAGGCATTCAAAAGTTAACAGAGGTGATAGGCCACGCCATAGCTCAAACGGTTAGTCGCTGGCTTCCCACCGCGGCGGCCCGAGTTCGATCCCGGGTCTGGTCAAGTGGGATTTGTGGTGGATAAAGTAGCGCTGAGGCGGGTTTTTTCCGATTGCTTCGGTTTTCCCCTACCAATCTTCATTTCACCAAATTCTCCATCATCATAATCACCCGGGGCAGGCTACAATAGGCCAATCAGTGACCGCCGTGCCGAGTGGACCCAGTTGTGTGTGTGTATGTGTGTGTGTGTAACAGTGGATCGTGAAGTGTCAATCAGCAATAGCTCTGTGTTGCCTGTACCACGTGTTTGAGTGTAATTAAGAGAGAGTGTGTAACCAAAATGTTAATATATCCAATCATCCGAACTACAAGGTGAATCATATAGAACCGGCCCGATGAATTTGCTAATAATTCCTCAGATGATGCATATAACCGCTCACAATTACGACATAATAATCTGTGGACCATGCTGAGTCGAATGGTGTGCTCATGATCTGGCAAGTGGCAGCCCTTAAGCTACAAGGTCAAGGACAATCCCGATACGTGTCTGCAGTGCGCAGGCGACAGTCATGGAGTACACTGTTGAACAGCGAACGTTTCTAGTGCCTACTTGAAAACGGCGGACACTTTCAACACCTGCTCTGATCACGGCACACAATCCAAGATAAGATATGTCTAAATTACTTTAATATCTGTATGGTATATTTTATATTACAGCTCATTTCGTCGGGCCGGTTCTATATGAATCACCCTATAGAACCGTCATTTCATCACGCGTACTATCCTACACGTGAAAATACATAATCATGATTAGAAATGTTGATAGTGTGTATTCATTATTAATAGTATTTTCACAACATATATATGATTTCTCAATTTCTGTTATGCGCCCTGCATCATCTGACTGGCCGTCTTGCTGTTCCGCGCTACTGTATCATATATCAGACACCCTGTATGTCGTGAATATTTGGACGTTTTATTTCAGCTGCCTGTGCTGTATTGCCCCGTGGGAAAAGGACGCAGTCAATCCCATGCACTTGTCATGCCGCTGATGTAAACGGCTCTTTGTGGTCGGAATGCTGTCACAGCTCCCACATTTTTATACCAGACTTCAACCTCCAGCTCCGCTCCAACACTTTGTTCTTTCATCTGAGGGAGCAAAAATGTCCTATATTGCAGGCTTGTGAGCGTTTGTCTTTTTAGAATTGGCAGTGAAAGAGGCGCATGTTTTTAAAATGATACGGTACACTCAAAAGGAAAGCAGGTGACGTTTCTCTGTGTATTTATCAGTCCTGAGTCAACTTGAGGCGTGTCAAGGGAAATCACTAAGAATTGGATAAGGTGAATAAAGAGAATTACTTAATACCAAGTTAAGAAAGTGTTTGTACGAGCAGTAATTTCAGAAATTAACATCGAGTACAGACGTGTGACGCGAAACAGAGGATACAGTGAAACAACGTTAACAGAACTCACATACATGAGATCATGTGATAATGGCCGTATACGGCCGAAGCATGTAGTAACATAAAACGTATTTTTTTTCCCCTTGACACTACAGCCCCAGTGGGCCTAGGCCTACCTCAATGAACTTCTCCGTTCACTTC